ATCAGGAATGCAAAAGGGGAGATAACAACAAACACCATGGAAGTCCAGGAAATCATCAGAGACTACTTTGAGAACCTATATTCAAATAAATTTGAAAATCTAAAAGAAATGGACAGATTTCTAGATACATATGATCATCCAAAACTGAACCAAGAGGACATTAATCACCTGAATAGACCTATAACACAAAATGAAATTGAAGCAACAATCAAGAGTCTCCCCAAAAAGAAAAGTCCAGGACCTGATGGATTCTCTGCTGAATTCTACCAGATCTTTAAAGAAGAACTGATACCAACCCTCCTTAAACTGTTCCACGAAATAGAAAGGGAAGGAAAACTGCCAAACACATTTTATGAAGCCAGTATTACACTTACCCCAAAACCAGGCAAAGACACCTCCAAAAAGGAGAACTATAGGCCAATCTCTTTAATGAACATTGACGCAAAAATCCTCAACAAAATAATGGCAAACCGAATTCAACAACACTTCAAAAAGATTATTCACCACGACCAAGTAGACATACGAAAATCAATAAACGTAATAAACCACATTAACAGAAGCAAAGACAAAAACCACTTGATCATCTCAATAGATGCAGAAAAAGCCTTTGATAAGATCCAACACCATTTCATGAAAAAAGCTCTAAGAAAACTAGGAATAGAAGGAAAGTTCCTCAACATTATAAAAGCTATATATGACAAACCTACAGCCAGCATTATACTTAATGGAGAAAAACTGAAACCATTCCCTCTAAAATCAGGAACCAGACAAGGATGCCCACTATCTCCACTTCTATTCAACATAGTACTGGAATTCCTAGCCAGAGCAATTAGGCAAGAAGAAGGAATAAAAGGAATACAAATAGGTAAAGAAACTGTCAAAATATCCCTATTTGCAGACGACATGATCCTATACCTTAAAGACCCAAAAAACTCTACTCAGAAGCTTCTAGACATCATCAATAGCTATAGCAAGGTAGCAGGATATAAAATCAACATAGAAAAATCATTAGCATTTCTATACACTAACAAAGAGCAAACTGAAAAAGAATGTATGAAAACAATTCCATTTACAATAGCCTCAAAAAAAATCAAATACCTAGGTGTAAACCTAACAAAAGATGTGAAAGACCTCTACAAGGAAAACTATACACTTCTGAAGAAAGAGATTGAGGAAGACTATAGAAAGTGGAGAGATCTCCCATGCTCATGGATTGGTAGAATCAACATAGTAAAAATGTCGATACTCCCAAAAGTAATCTACATGTTTAATGCAATTCCCATCAAAATTCCAATGACATTCATTAAAGAGATTGAAAAATCTACGTGAAATTTATATGGAAACACAGAGGCCACGAATAGCCAAGGCAATACTCAGTCAAAAGAACAATGCTGGAGGTATCACAATACCTGACTTCAAACTATATTACAAAGCAATAACAATAAAAACAGCATGGTACTGGCACAAAAACAGACATGAAGACCAGTGGAACAGAATAGAGGACCCAGATATGAAGCCACACAACTATAACAACTTGTCTTTGACAAAGGAGCTAAAAATATACGATGGAAAATAGCAGCCTCTTCAACAAAAACTGCTGGGAAAACTGGTTAGCAGTCTGCAAAAAACTGAAACTAGATCCATGTATATCACCCTATACCAAGATTAACTCAAAATGGATCAAGGATCTTAATATCAGACCCAAACTCTAAAGTTGATACAGGAAAGAGTAGGAAATACTCTGGAGTTAGTAGGTATAGGTAAGAACTTTCTCAATGAAACCCCAGCAGCACAGCAACTAAGAGATAGCATAGATAAATGGGACCTCATAAAACTAAAAAGCTTCTGTTCATCAAAAGAAATGGTCTCTAAACTGAAGAGAACACCCACAGAGTGGGAGAAAATATTTGCCAACTATACATCAGACAAAGGACTGATAACCAGAATATATAGGGAACTTAAAAAACTAAATTCTCCCAAAACTAATGAACCAATAAAGAAATGGGCAAGTGAACTAAACAGAACTTTCTCAAAAGAAGAAATTCAAATGGCCAAAAACACATGAAAAAATGCTCACCATCTCTAGCAATAAAGGAAATGCAAATTAAAACCACACTAAGATTCCACCTCACCCCTGTTAGAATAGCCATCATCAGCAACACCACCAACAACAGGTGTTGGCGAGGATGCGGGGAAAAAGGAACCCTCTTACACTGTTGGTGGGAATGTAGTACAACCACTCTGGAAAAAAATTTGGAGGCTACTTAAAAAGCTAGACATTGATCTACCATTTGATCCAGCAATACCACTCTTGGGGATATACCCAAAAGACTGTGACACAGGTTACTCCAGAGGCACCTGCACACCCATGTTTATTGCGGCACTATTCACAATAGCCAAGTTATGGAAACAGCCAAGATGCCCCACCACTGACGAATGGATTAAGAAAATGTGGTATCTATACACAATGGAATTTTATGCAGCCATGAAGAAGAACGAAATGTTATCATTCGCTGGTAAATGGATGGAATTGGAGAACATCATTCTGAGTGAGGTTAGCCTGGCCCAAAAGACCAAAAATCGTATGTTCTCCCTCATATGTGGACATTAGATCAAGGGCAAACACAACAATGGGATTGGACTTTGAGCATATGATAAAAGCGAGAGCACACAAGGGAGGGGTGAGGATAGGTAAGACACCTAAAAAACTAGCTAGCATTTGTTGCCCTTAATGCAGAGAAACTAAAGCAGATACCTTAAAAAGCAACTGAAGCCAACAGGAAAAGGCGACCAGGAACTAGAGAAAAGGTTAGATCAAAAAGAATTAACCTAGAAGGTAACACCCACGCACAGGAAATCAATGTGAATCAATGCCCTGTATAGCTATCCTTATCTCAACCAGCAAAAACCCTTGGTCTTCCTATTATTGCTTATACTCTCTCTACAACAAAATTAGAAATAAGGGCAAAATAGTTTCTGCTGGGTATCGAGGGGGTGGAGGGGAGAGGGAGGGGGCGGAGTGGGTGGTAAGGGAGGGGGTGGGGGCAGGGGGGAGAAATGACCCCAGCCTTATATGCAAATATGAATAATAAAATTTAAAAAATAAAATAAATAAATAAATAAAATAAAAAGACTGAAACAGTAAGATTTTATTTCCAAATAAGTCCTATCAACTTCTTTCCACAAGCTTCCTGAAATAAGGAGGTAATAGTCTCTTTACACCTCCAAAAATGGAATAGTATTTTAACAACTTATATTGAGACTTTGACAGAATTGGGAAATATGTCTAAGGTAACTGGAGATCTTTAGGGATACTCCACAACTATGGTAAAGATTACATGCTTCTGTAGCATAAAAATTTAAATGTTTTGGTGGCGATCAATTTAAGTCTAAGGCAGGGCCTAAGGTAGGATGATGTCTACTCTTCAATGCATACATCCTCATTTTTGCTCCAGTTTTTCCTCTGCTACTTTCTCAGCTATTAGCCCAGTTCAGCCCTACCTGATTTGTAGGAAATTGCCCTCTTTATAAAGAACCATGGACCCCTCAAACAGTAGTACCAGAAATAAAACCAGTTTCTCATGCCAAATTCTTATCCATCGAATCAGATATACCTATCTATACATGACAATTTATAATTTAATTTGTAAACTATTTTGATGTGAGACTTAGATCACCCTGACAGAAGGAATATTCATAGTAAATCAGAGCTCCTTTCAGTTCAAATATCTATATATGGAAAACTGGATTCTCTATTCTGTGAGGAACCATTTCAAATAACTTTTTAAAATACTTTTAAATTTGTAGGCCTAATAAATCTGTTCTGTATATAGTAACCAAGACCGACTATTTGGTTGGTTACTACAGAGTAACTAACATTTGAGTAGCACTTTACTGTTTTCAATTACCATCATTCCAATTACCTAGATAAGGAAAAATTAGGCTTCAGAGAAGTAAGTTTTATCTGGCAGAACAGGACTTGACCTCGAGACTTATGCTTTCACATCTTATAATTTCTCTAAAATATTATGATACTTTGTACAAACATACGAAAAAGATCAAACATATTAAATGGAAATCATAGAAATAAACTCAATTCCTGGAGAACTGGAAGGTGGAAAATACAATCTACAAATTACATATAGTTTCTTTATCTAGGTCCGGTTTCCCTTCTGCAATGCAAACTAGTGAGCTGCATAAATCTACAATACAATTAAGGATTTAAGCACCACCCTGAAACACAATTGTCAAAGGACCCTGTCATTTTTCCTGTTTGTGGCCAATAATTAGCTTTTCTCTGTGTATTTCTGTGTGGCTGTTTTCTCCTCTGTAAAAATGGAGGAAACCCAAAGGACCGACCTCACTGGATAGCTGTACGTTGTAAAGGAGAACAAGTGAACAGTGAGACTGACACACAGTAGGTGCACTTCAAGTCCATGCTATGAAGATGTTCCTGACCAGACAGAGCCATACGGCTCACTGTGCTAGACGCCTCCCCACTGTTTTGTTACTAATTCATTCGTATTTCAAAATCCTTGACCAGCGCTCAACCCTGCCTGGATCATTCACCCACATTCTCGTTTCATCTTTATAACAAATGCCTCCTCCATCAGTCCTTTGTCAATTGTAAACATCGAAGAACCTGCCATTAACCACTGGGTCTGCCTTAAACCTCACTAGCTCCCTTTCCCGAGAAGGCTAGGTAACCAGGAGGTGCAGCCCTCCTGTGTCCGAGCCACACAGCGCAGGCGCAGAAGCACGCGCGGGGAAGTGGCTATGGACGCCCCCGGGCTTGGCGCTCGCGCCCGTTTGGGGCTGATGTTCCTGCAGCAACGCTGCCCCAAGGACCTCTCCCTGACCCGTCAGTGAAGCGGGTTTCCCTCAAAGGGAGACCAGCACACGGAGACAGGTCCAGCCCTATGTGCACCAGGGAGAAAGGCCCGCACCAGCCCAAGGACAGGACGGCGGCCCTCCCTGCCCACGGCCGTTCGGGGCTGTACCTCGCCGTACACCTGGCTCTGCTTTCTCATGTAGACATGGGGAAGCTCGGCTGAGGCGGCCAGGGAGTAGATGTTGCCGATAAGGGGGAACCCCCGCGGCCCCGGGGGAAAGCCCACCGGCCGCCTCTGCTTCAGTAGCTGGCGGACCCCCAGCGCGAACAGCAGCAGAAAGAACACGCCCGCGAGCGCCGCCGCGCACCGTTCAGCTTCCCGAGCGGCCCACATCGGCCCCGGCCGGGCTGCGAAGCTCACCGGGGCAAGGCTGCTGCTCGGACGCTTCCGCCAGTGTTGCCGCGCTCCCATTGGTCAGATATCCAAATGTCCCGCCTCCAGCCCCATGGCCATTGGCTCGCTGAGTGTAGGTCGCTCGGGCTCCTCGGGTCAGCTATCTGCTGGAGTTGTACGGCTCAGAGTCCGCCTTGCGACCCTTTGAATCGGGCGTGGTCTTAGGTGAACGCGACCTAGCGGTTCCAGGACGTTGACGACGCATCCGGAGAGCTTCACTCACTGGGCCAGGCGATTGTGCCCTCCTTGGGATTGACTCAGGTTACCTGTCTCCCACCCCGCCACAAACACACCTTTGATCCTCACAAACCGGTTACTTATTGGCCGCTCTTGTTTGCAGTTGCTCAGGGATAGTATCACTCAAGTTTTCTGTCTCCTACCTAGAATTAAGCAACTCAATTCATATTGTTATTTCAGCTTATATTCCTGTTTCTTATTGGACAATTCCTTGCAGCACAGAACCTACTGGGCTTGGGACTCCTAACAGCTGCTCTCTGATTATGATTTAGCATTGGCAAAAGTTTTATAGTCCTCATTAGCTTAAGTTTCATTCATGCAACAAATATTTATTGAATGCCTACTTCCTGCAGGTGTCCCTAACGATGGGGATACATAGGTGAACAACAACAATAAAGTCCCTGCAGGGTATTTCACAGGAGCTCTACACACAGAATATCCACCTTCTGCCTATTACAAATGCTCGATAGGTTATCTTTAAAGATTCCTTAAAATTCTTGTTAATCATTTCTGACTAATATGCTAGTAGATGGAAAATAACGGTGAGAGATTATTGTTAAATTTAGTTTCTCTTGTCACAGGATAAATACTGAGATTGCAGGTGGGGGACAGTGATGCTCAGACTTGCAGTGTCTCTTCTGGCCACAGCTGTTATGCAGTAGAGGCAATTGATTCAGGAATTGTCTCCTTTCCATCACTTACTTTCAAAAAGGATTAATTTATTTTAAAAAATCTTTCAATTCACTTAAATTAGGGAAGTCTTTCTTTGGCATTCTTTCCCTGATACCTTAGCAGAGAGCTCAAAGTTATCCCTACTTGTATCCTTATCTTATTGACAGCACTGAGGAGATACATCTCTCACTACCCCTTGGGGGATACTGGGGGGGTGGATCTTAGAAATAGCTAAAACTCAGAACACAGAGCCTTCCCTCTAACAGTTTATGTCCTCTCAGTGTTTAGTAAAGAAAAAACAGGTCCCTATGTTCCCTTCCCTTTATTTCCTCTCCCAGCATTTGATCTTTGAATGGTAGACAATGATCAATAATATTTGTGCTTGGCTTTTATCACTGCAAGGATGTTTAGGAGTGGATATTTTCACTGTTTCACAGTAGGGTTTCTGTCTTTAGTATGCAGGGCGGAATGGGAGCCTGAAGAGATGTGAATACCCTATACAGGACTCTGCCATTTTTGTGTGCAGGACTGTAATGGTTGCAACAGAGAACAGCACAACTTCAGCTCTAATGAGAACTTCTTTTTTGACCTTTGAGAATTTCTATAATTTGAATATGGTTTGTCCCCTCAACTCATGTTGAGGCTTGGTCCCCAGTATGGCAGTGTTGAGAGTTGTTGGGATCTTTAGAGGTAATTAGGTCATGAGAGCTCCACTTTCATGTAGTTACTTCAAGTAGGTCATAGGAGCTCCACCCTGAAGCAGTTATCTCAAGGATGGGTTGGTCATTCTGAGAAGGGGTTGTTAATAAAAATAAGTTTGGTTTTCCCTTGTTTCTTCTCTGGCCATTTGATCTCTTCTGCAAGAATGTGCTTCCCCTCTACTTTCATGCCGTGGAGCAGCATGCAGCCCTCACTAGAAGCCAAGCAGATGTTAGTGCCATGTTCTTGGACTTCCAGAACTGTGCTACATAAACCTCTTTTCTTTATAATTTTACCAGCCTGTTATAACAACAGAAAAAAGACTAAGACAGGAACCAAGCCTCCAGGACTCATTCTGAGAGGCAGTGTCAGGTGAGAGTGTCTCGTGGGCTCCTCGACAGTTGTTGGATGCTGTGACCCAGGGTGTTCCCCCCACAGTGCTCCACTAACACAGAGTGATGCAGTCAGCACAAATTTGCCTCCTTTGCACATTCCATTGCACATAATCTTGGTGGTTGTTTTAAATCAAAATAGAAGGAAATAAGAGTCAGAGGAAGTATTGAGCGGAGCCATACTAGAGCTTAAGGCAAAAAGATAGAAAAACCAGTAATGAACCTTCTTTATTAAAAATTTGAATACCTTGTTCATCATTAATTTTGACTTCTTTTTATTGCAAAGTGTTGTGTTAAATATCTTGATTGCAAAGGCTTTTGGCACTCCCTTAAATTTTGCTCCCAAAGTGCACTCCTCACTTCCTGCACCCTAGTCTCGGAGACAAGGTATCCAAATGATGATTTTGACTATAAAATGCTATGTAGGAACTGGGTTTTGCTCTTAGTTTTTCATGGTACTTTTAGAGGCCAAGCACTGAGGAGGCACTGACAACCCAGTGGTGCCTCCAGGTGAAACTTGAAATATTATGAAATAACTATTAAAAGAGCCACCCATTGCCTGACTTTCAGTCTTTACAAATTAATTTATATGAATTAAATGTTCCCTAAAACAGGCTGAGTTAGAAAATATAAACTCTAGAAGTAGAAGAATATGATGATAGAAAATTCCTAAAACTGTACATATATGTGAATAAGTTTATTCCAACTTTTGAAGGAAATACAGTAGGGGAAGCCTGATGGGTCTGATTTATTGGAAGTGGTGGCATGGTGATGACAATGTTTGTGGGTGTGGGATTTAAGAAAAAAGTAAAAAGATAAACATACAAAAATACAAGCATGATCCTATCTATCTATCTATCATTTATCCAACATCTATTTACACATACAGAGCATATTTTCAGTAGTGGAACTGTTGGAGGACACGAGGGGGAGGAGGGAGAGGAAAAAGAGAGTGATAGGGAGTGAATAATGTTAAAAATACATTGCATCTGGGTAGGGAAAAGGCACAGTGAAATGTACCAAAAGCTGTTGATCAATATGGAGTAGGGGCAAAAGGTAAGGAAGAATAATAGAGGGACTAGACTGATGAAAGTAAAATACAAGTGAAATGAATTTACAAGTGAAATGCCATGGCAAAAACCCCTTTGACCAATGAATACACACTTAAACAATGAAGGAAAGGAACTTAAAACATGTCCTGTTAGGGGGAGGGTCATGCTGGGAGGGAGAATGGAGAAGGTAAAGAAAGACAAGGTATTGTGGAGAGGCTCAAGTGGAAGACTGCCTACCTAACAAGCATGAGGCCCTGAGTTCAAACCCAGTACTGCCAAAAAAAGGTGGGGGAGGAGGCAAATATGGTTGATGTACTTTACATACATGTATGAAGATAGAAAATTGAAGCCTGTGGAAATAATTTTTAAAATGGGGGATGGGATACATTGTAACCAAGTTGTATTGTAAACATATATGGAAATGTCACAATGAACCCCCTCTATAACTATTATATGCTAATGAAAATGTTAAAAAGAAAAGGATGCAGAAAGAGAAAAGAGGGTTTGAGTGAGAAGGTTCTTTTCTTCAACAATTTTTCCAAAGGCTACCTCAACTTTGAGAAATCATTTTTCTCAGAACCAGGAGTCATTCCTGCTATTTCATGGGGATTCTTAGCCAACCAACGCCCTGATACTTCCTCCCCTCTAGTTGACCACTGCACCATTGTATGTTCTTGATATCTTGTTTTCCTTTCCTTGTATTTGAATATAATAGAAATCTAAAAATAGATGAATACTTAGTGACCGTCTTGTAGTCCTCTTCCAAATTTGTAACAGAGTTAGAGAAAGTTTATTGTTCTGCTCAAGGTCACATAAGCAGCACCAGTGGAACCAGAATTTGGCTGTGGACTTGCCATGTGTTCCTTTAGTCATTCATCACAAAATCACAAAATGTTGAGTACCTACTAGACAAGGTGCTGGATATATAATTGTGAGCAAAAATGTTCATGGTCCCTGCTTTGAGTTTACAGCCTATGGGAGGATTCAAACATCCATCAGTCATAAATGTATTATTACAAGCAGTTATGTTTTGTGAAGTAAGGAACCGTTCTTTTTTTCATAACACTATAATTTATTAAGAAAGGAATTCAGTTTAACAGGATAAAAGTGGAGAAAAATGGAGGAAAAAGGAAGAAACGTTTCCTGCTTGGGGTAGAGACTACAAGAAACAGTTTTATAAACATGTCTAGTATAGGAAATGTAATCTGTCTTGGTGTTTAGTAATTGCAGTCTGGAGCTCAGAATCATACTCAGGGATTTATCTTCCCTAAGCTGGTGTTGCTGAAATTCTTTTGCAGCAACTGGTCATATATGGGGTATTGAGTGCCAAGTAGGAAAAGAAAGGAAATGGTTATAATAAAATTCATTGTTTAAAAAATTCATGAACTTCATTCAGAGACACCTAGGTCCTAATTTGAAGGCATTTTACTCTTGCTTTACAAATAATTTTCATAAACATGCTGTTTAGTCCTCAGTAAAAACAGTAATTTGAAGAAGCAATGAAAACGTTATATTGAACTGATATTAGAGCTGACAACGCCAATAATACCAGCAATGACATCTGACAAGCTGATAATGAAAAAGGAACAATAATTATGAAATACAGCACAACAGCCTGAGATTATTACAGTAGAGAATATCAGCCTCACACATCTCAAAACCTGAGGGTGTCACATGTAGGATAGTAGAAGACTTTTTTTTTTGGTCTCGATATCCTCACTTTATTCATCATTGAAAATTCATATATCAAATTTCAAAGAAGTAACAGAATGGAGATAAGCTATAACTAACTTCAAAAAATCAAAACATTTTCACTGTTCAGCAGAAGACATTTATTCATGATCTCATTAAATGAACATCCTCATCAAGGAGGCTGAAATTATTTTAGGAACATTCTAACTTAAGAGTGCAGGGGAAGTGCACAGTATATTTTTGGAAGATTTGACTTTCTAAAACAGAAATGACT